TGGTTTAAGCATATGGGTGATTCATCAACTTTTCTGCCCCCAAGGGTAATTTATCTTCAAAATTGCTTTAAGAAATTAAAATAACTTTTATTCATCAAGGACACATCAAATTGTTTTCCATGAATTTTTTATTTTACGTATAGAAAATTTTATACAATTTTATAACGTATATACAATTTACATGACCATTCAACTTTTGGAGTCAGTAAGAGTGCTAAATTGATTGATTGTTTTTGAAAGAAATGATTTATTTTATTCAGCATGAATGCATTAAATTGTTCTGAAGTGACAGTAAAGAGATTTGTAATTTTACAAAATATTTCTTTTTCATATAAATTATTTTCTTTTGAACTTAATTAATTAACTTAATTGTGAACTTCTATTAATCTAAGAATCCTGAAAAAATAAATTATGAACATTGATAATAATAAGAAATGTTTATTGAGCACCAAATCAGCATAATACAATGATTTCTAAAGGATCATGTGACACTGAAAATTCAGCTTTACATCACAGGAATAAATTTAATTTTAAAATATATTACAAATAAAAAAAGCTATTTTAAATAGTAATAATATTTCACAATATTACTGTTTACTGTATTTCTGATTAAATTAATGAAGCCTTGGTGAGCATAAGAGACTTCTTTCAAAAACATTTAAAAAAATGTATATATTACATTAATTATTTACTATAATTACATATACATTTATACTATTATAATATTATATTATTATAAAAAAATTGTAATTTACACATTTTTAAATTTCCTAAGTTTAAGAGCATTGAATTGTTACATTTGCCAGAATGTGTCTATTTTGGGGATTTTCCACTTTTTAAAAATGTTTTCTTTAGGATGAAATAATATACATTTCACTTTACATAAGAACTTTTTTTTTTTTATTCATTTCACTTTTTTTATACCATTTGTAAGCCCTTTTGTCACATTTGACAGCGTTCAGGTTGCCATGTATTTGCATAAATATTTACAAATTAATTCTAATTAACTACATATACTTTGTATGTCATTTTTTTCTGAGCTGCTTGTTATTCACAGTTCTTGATATTAATATAGTAATGTCTGATGTGTGGAACACAAACACTGGAAAGCATTTTTTTTAAATAACAAAGAATCAATAGTCATTACCACGATGTCAAGTGTTTTAAAGAACAATTAAGTTAAAGAAGTTTATATTTGGTTATGATGGAAATGAGAAGTGACAGCGAGCGCAATGACAGTTTATAGATCAAAAAGTCAAATAATTTTAAGATCCACACTGTCACACTTGAACTTACAGAAGTCTTTCATGTGTAATGCTTTGCCTTTTTATTTCCTCCAGTGCCACAATAACCACTATTAACCATGACGAGGTTTGGTACAAACGTCTGGATGGCAGCAAATCAAAGCTTTACATCTCTCAGCTCCAGAAAGGCAAATACACTATAAAGCGCTCCTAAAGATCCTCCTCATCTTCCTCCAGTCTCCATTTCCAGTGTCAAACCAAACCTTCACTGGTTCCATGCCCTTCTCCGTTTGTCACCATGTCGACTCGTTCATGCTGGATGTTACATGCATGTACCACATGTTTGCACTTCCTAAGTTCAAGCTGCTATACAAACACCTGGTTGCCAAGGAAACAGTGAAAGTGTGTGTGTGTGTGTATGTGTGTGCGCCTTGATGACAAAGATGAGCCAGTAAAGCCTTGTTCAAAGCAGTGAAGCCCAACTTATTGGTATTGCTGATACTGAACACATGACAGTTCCCATGCCTTTTATGAAATATAGAGTCAGTATTTTTATTTGTTGATTTATGGAGCATGTCTCAGTGTTCTGAAATGACAGTGCCATGTATCCTGTTCTGTGTCTTTGAGATGCATAATGTTTTAAACAACAGAACGGTCTGCAAAGTGTTATTTTTCTACTTGTTCTAAAAATAATAGACAATAACTTGTGAATTCACTCCTAAAGACTGTAAAATGTATGGAGAATGTTTTAGTTTAGGATTAACATGCAAGTCATGTACTTGTTTTGCAACTATTATTATTTTCCGTTAAACCAACCAAATGTAGCATATTCTGATCAAATATATGACTCATGACTGGCTATATAAAAAACTATTTCTGTTAAATATTGTATTTTTCAAGTACCTAAATGTGAGTCTCTAACAGTTGTACTGGATGATGTTTGTTGTATTTTCTCTATTTATCATATGTTCATATCCATTTTACAGTGTTTTGGCACTTGAGTGGTTTGTAATTGTGTATCAAGTTGCATTATTTGACTTATTTTTTTTAAATTACTGATTTAAAAATCCTTTCATTGATACGATACCAAACACAGCACCACCGTCTTCCAGACGTCACAGAGCCACAAAGGTCCAACACATCTGATTCACAGCGTTAATATAAATCTCCTCAAATTAGTAAGGAGTATTATGTGACCTATAAAACAATATTCGTAGCAGATAAAGAAGAAGCTCTGACTGGACTGAATTCACAGAATGTAATTATATTGCACAGTGGAAATGTCATATTCTGTTATAAAGGTGATTTTGCATGGCATTTTGTTGTTTCTGTGTTTATCCTGTGCTTACAGTATGAAAATATCAACAAAAAAAATCGTAATGTTTCCTAAACTTCCTTTGCCAACACAATATCAGAAATGTTTGCTTTTATTTGTATGGGATATAATTCAACATTAATGCCAGGCTTATTAGCTAAAATTAAAACTAAAACCATAACTAAATATTCACTGAAATAAAATAAAAAACACAAAACTTTAAACATTTTATTTCAGCCAGATGGCAAGGAAACATTTCTAATTTTCATTTAGGTTAATGACGTTCTAAAATACAAAAAAAAATTATAAAACTGAAAGAAAATTATACAAACTATATACAGTATTAGGCATATTTTAAAAATCTAAAATTAATAAAAGACAAAACAAAATGAAAATCTAATTCAAATTATTAATAAAACCTATAATAGTATCTCAATCGCACTAAATTTTAATTGCTCAAAAAACGCAATGAGTAAAAAAAGCTTATTCTGTTAAGAATGTCATTCATGCATCTAAATGAAAATTGTCTGCAGAACACAAAGATATCTTGAGGAACACTGCACCATACAAAAACAAAAAAGTATACTATTCCTTTAATAGAACAAAATACAAATGGGCATCATGACATGTGCAGAATCAATTTCTGCCATCTGAATTCTTACGTAAATTATCTTTACTTCTCTAGTACATTTTTGCACAGAAATTTATGAATGAAATATACAAAGAGAAATTCCTGCTCAAGTTTTATGAATATTCACGAAGCCTGTATATTTGCCTTAAAAACTTCAAATCATGAGATGAATCATTACACTCTAAAAAATGCTGGGTCAAAACAAGCCAATTGCTGGGTTTGTCCCTATTTTACCCAGCACTGGGTTGTATTTAACCCAGCATTTTTTAGAGTGTATTAGTTTTAAACAAGTCCTACTATTTTAAGACATGGCTTATTATTTAACAGTTAAAAAAATGATTATTAAATGCAGTGCCTTTCTATGACCATGTAGAGGCAGTAGAAACTTACAGTTGTTTATCTTGCTGGTCACTGCATGTCTGCTGTACTGCTGCACCAAAGCTGCTGTGTTTGTTTTCCAGGGTCTTTCATCACTTTTGTGGCAGCCTCTCTGTAATAATCTCATCATCAAGCCTTGTAGAATTGTTTTATTTTGATTTTTTCTCATTTGCTATCTCTGAACAGTGGAGTCTTCAGTCTTTGTCATATTTCTCAACTGATATTTAGGAGTTTTTACAGCCAGCACATTGTCTTCAGTCAGCAGGTGACTAATGGTGGTACTCATAATGAATTGTTTATAAGTCAGAAGAACCTGACACTCGTTCACAAGAGCCAGAGCTAATGAGCTCGAACAAAAGACAAAGAACACTTTTATGAGGCGGAGGCTGAAACCTGCCTCGTGTTTGAGACCAAGCGTTTGTACTCTGCTGTAGCCCTGGACTGATGCAACAGCCTATAGATATGCTGAAAAAAAACGTTAAAACATTATGGCAGCAAACTATAGCCAACAGCGGAACTGACTTCCTGCAAATGCAACAAAAATCATTGAAGCTGAAGTGTGCACTTTCTGCTCCACTAGCATAACGATTGTTTCACACAGGTTTCCCGAACACTCCCACATCTTTCATTGGTCGAGAAAGCGGTAGCCACGCCAAACTCACGCCATTGGTTGAGCGAATATTGCCACGCAGAGCTGGAGTTCTGATAGCCATATAAAGCCAAAGTGTTACTTTTTTCTGGAAAAACAACCTACTAATGGTTCAGTATCTGCACATTAAGTTGGGAGCAAGTATTTTAACATTGAGAAAACCACACACTTTACCTTTAAACATTGTAAGTATCACAAAAAAATTTCTAAAAATGCATAAATTAACAGCATTTGAAATAAATGTATCAGTATTGTTGAACATTGCCTGAAATGGGCTATATCCAGTAAAATCCAAATAGGTAATGTTCCGAAACCAAATGGCTCAAATTTTGGCAGACATTTAAGGTTTGTGTCCTGAGTCGAGCTTCCCACACAAATGAGGCAGGCGTTTTCTCAGCGAGTTGACTGAGGTATGTAAAGCAACACCTGTCCTAGTACCTGATACCCACCAGACTCAAAGCAGGCCAGGCATGTGGAGGTATAGTGTCGCTGTTACGCCGTACAGAGAAACTGATATGGAAATCATATTGAAATCATGAACGGACATGGCCAACCGTTTGTGGAGCTCCTCAAATGCCATGGATTAGCACTAATGGACATCTCACTTTGGTGTTATCAGGAAAGTGTCTTCAAGAGGAAATTATGTAACATTATTCACATTGCTTACATTCCTATCTATTTTAAACAAACTTCTGTTCAGATGCTCCAGGAAAGGTTTCACTTACCAGACTTCTGTCTTGTGAACTCTGCTTGACCCAGTGTTTCATTTGTGTTCCAGGAGAGAATAGAGATGCATGTCGGCACTAATGTGACCTCAGGTGGTTTGACTTTGAGCAACTGTGACAGATCAAGCAATTACTGAACATGTTCAGTTTCATTTTTGGTGATTCAGGATATTTTGCTGATTTTGTGCATCATTGGTTAATTGCTCATTTTGAAGCATTATTGTCTAGTGAATGTGGGCGCATATTTGTTCATTCAATCTAATTGTGAATACTGAGAGTCCAAGTGAGATCATTTGTGTCTGTTCCTGTCTCAGTTAAACACGTCACGTCTTCAAAGGCAAACGCAAAGCAAGCAATCCAGAAGGGAAATGTACACTAAATGAGATTTTTTTATGAGAAATTCCTGATGGGTGTAAATAGACTTAAACTCATGATTACAATCTGCACTTCAGTCAGATCCACATTCAAATTGTGAAAAATACATCTTATATATACATTCTGCAGAAATTAAACATGACTATGGATATAAATGTGTTAAATATATTAAATATTATAGACAGAATTACACAATTCTAAATAAAAATAGTTTATATACATATATAAATAAATATATGTCTTAAATATATTAAATATTATAGGCAGAATTAATTACACAATTCTAAATAAAATATTATATATATATTTTATTATTCTGCCATCTTAAAGGGAAAGTTCACCCAAAAATTAAAATATGCTGTAAATTTACTCACCCTCAGGCCAAAATTACTTTTTTTCCTTCAGTAGAACAGTAAAGATTTTAATAATAATAACCTTATATTAATAACAATGCATGTGCCACAAGGCTATGCGTGAATCAAACTCTGTGTGTCTGAAAGAACCTGTCAGTCAAAGGTTACATGGCCATACATTTTCCATCCTGCTGGGTTGGTTTCTCTGGATGTACACTAAATGAGATTTTTTTATGAGAAATTCCTGATGGGTGTAAATAGACTTAAACTCATGATTACAATCTGCACTTCAGTCAGATCCACATCCAAATTGTGAAAAATACATCTTATATATACATTCTGCAGAAATTAAACATGACTATGGATATAAATGTGTTAAATATATTAAATATTATAGACAGAATTACACAATTCTAAATAAAAATAGTTTATATACATATATAAATAAATATATGTCTTAAATATATTAAATATTATAGGCAGAATTAATTACACAATTCTAAATAAAATATTATATATATATTTTATTATTCTGCCATCTTAAAGGGAAAGTTCACCCAAAAATTAAAATATGCTGTAAATTTACTCACCCTCAGGCCAAAATTACTTTTTTTCCTTCAGTAGAACAGTAAAGATTTTAATAATAATAATCTTATATTAATAACAATGCATGTGCCACAAGGCTATTCGTGAATCAAACTCTGTGTGTCTGAAAGAACCTGTGAGTCAAAGGTTACATGGCCATACATTTTCCATCCTGATGGGTTGGTTTCTCTGGTGAAAAAGAACTGAGAGTTCAAGTTGATTTTAGACAACCCTGCTTTGCCCCCTACCAGCACTCCACATGATTGAATATTCATAAAATGCCTTGTCTGTTCGAAAAAGGCTTGAATTGTTCAACAGGGCTGCATGGGATACCAAAATAGAGTTAATTAACATTTAATCTCTAGTTCAACTCTGGGTCAAACAGGCAGGCCGGATGAACCGAGTCATGGCCCCTGAACAATACAAAACATGATGAAAATGTTGAAACTGTATCCTGCCAGAGGGAACGCATGTACACCCCACGACGCTTGGACAGGCCCCCTGATGAAGATACTGCTGACAAACCTTTTGACACAGATAGCAAGCCAGGGAGGTAAACACAAAAGAACAATTACTGAAGTGCACTTCAGTTTTGATGCAAACGCTTACGATATACGTATACAGCAAAACCATAGACTGTAAAAAAAAAAACAGATGTGCAACGCATTTCTATTTCCTTCCACTTGAAAAATGGAGCCAAAATGTCCCAGAAATGGCTGCTGCTCATGAGTCTGCACAGTAGCGATCATGAGCTAGAGTCAAGGTATCAAAGTCCCGCCTAAACTCCTGCAGACCCAATCACAAGCTCACAATCATGATGCCACACCCCATTTTTATTGCATCAAATAACTAACTAAAACAAGAAAACAAGAAAAATGACCACTTGAACATACATCAGCATGATATGAACTACCTAAATTATGGAAAGCATCTTTGGCAAAAAAGTATTTGAAGTGTAATTAGATTTTTTGGTTTGGCTCATATCCCATTCCTTTACATGGAGAGGGCGGGGTTGATGACCTATACTGCAGCCAGCCACCAGGGGGCGATTGAATTGTTTTGGCTTCCCTTTTCAGAAATGGACCAAAAGTGCAGCCTTTTAGGCCCTGTCGCAAATTGCACCCTAAAAGCCACCAGGGGGCGATTGAATTGTTTTGGCTTCCCTTTTCAGAAATGGACCAAAGTGCAGCCTTTTAGGCCCTGTCGCAAATTGCACCCTAAAACCTTGCGGTCTTCCTCTGAGTCCACACTTTTGTGACGTAATGCCTCTTTGACTGTCGGGTAGAAGTCTGCTGCGGAGCTCGCCTCAGTGCGGGCTCGGCAGAAGTGTGCATCGAGGGCGCATATAGCAGCCACAAAAGGGGTGCTCGCGAGCACCCTTCTGAAAGCTAAAATGACGAATGGGACACCCTACGGTCTTGTGGACTTCACGGACACGTGCACACGGCGGCCATTGTAAGTCCGCAAGAGCACAAGTGCACATGAAGTGTGCCATTTGGGACAGGGCCTTAAAGTATATAGTACTCCATTTGCATACGTGAACTCAGCCGCTTGACACGTGTGCACTAGAACGTTTCATCCTTGTTCAGTGTCTGCGATATTTCTCTCCAGAAGTTATGAGCGAGAAAAAGTCTGTACTTATATAACTGCAACTTTTTATCTATAACAATTACAAGTTCTTAACTTCAAATTGCATGTTATTGCATGCAATAATGTTAACGGTAACAAGAAATTCAGATTTTTTTTCTCAAAATTGCGAGATAAACTAAGAATTGTAAAAAAAAAAAATTATAAAAAGGTAAGAATTGAAAAACGTTAATCCGCAATTGCAAAAAAAAAAATTGTTGTGAAATTTACATCACATGCACTGTACGCATACCCTGTACTCAGTATATGTAGTATTTAATCTTGTGTTTAGTGATCAGAATAAGCTTAGTTTCACAGAATGCTCATAAAATGCACATAAATATCTCTATAGATGTTTATCTCAATAGAAAAACTGGGGGGTTTAACTGTTTATACTGTACATTAGCTGTTCCAGCACCCACCCCCATCCCATACAGCCCACTGTAGCCTCCGGCGGCATCCGCACATCCCTGCATGTGCCTCAGACTCTTATGTAATCCTGACAGAAAATAATTGAAAAATAAAGAAACACCATCCCTCGCTCTCTCCTTCTTTACCTGGTTGTTTGTGTGTTGGATGGCCTGCGGGGCAGAAGGAAGCCCGTAGTCTGGACACACTCAAAGACAGACTGGATCAGAGCTTTGTGTTTACTCAACCTGCAGCTGAATAGAGGAAGATCTCCACATCCCTTTTTTGAATGGGAAATGCTTAGAGAGAGTGAACCTGTTGTGAATGCAGCGATGCTTGTGGATTCTATTTTTAGGATATGTTAGGCTTACACGAAGATGCATATTGTTGTGAAAAAGCACTACGCTGAATAGAGAAAGATGCCTGTGTTCCAGGAACTTATTGCATGCATTACAGTTTGGAAAGGCTATTTATGGACTCAGAATTTCCCCCATCAGTCTACAGCACAGATCTTTAGCTTTAGAGTATTTATCAAATTACATGTGTTCAGAAATGTGATGTTCAGAAATGCAGTCTCAAACAGTCTTCATAGTTCAAACAAAACGTCTCGGTTACGTATGGTAACCCTCGTTCCCTGAAGGAGGGAACGGAGACGTCACGTCGGATGACCGACAAATTGGGATCTCGCTTAGAGAGACCAATCCACTTCGAGTGTAAACTAAACGAGCCAAAAAATTAGACGACAAAGAATTAACTTGACGGAGCTCAAACTCAAAACACACGGCAGCAACAAACAGCCAACACAACTCCGCATCTTCAGCCAACTGAAGTCTACAGCACAGATCTTTAGCTTTAGAGTATTTATCAAATTACATGTGTTCAGAAATGTGATGTTCAGAAATGCAGTCTCAAACAGTCTTCATAGTTCAAACAAAACGTCTCGGTTACGTATGGTAACCCTCGTTCCCTGAAGGAGGGAACGGAGACGTCACGTCGGATGACCGACGAA